TACCTCGTAAGCCCTGAAATACAAATCTCTCTCCAGCTATAAGCAAGCTCACTTGCTTCTTCAGACAGTCAATCTGAGCCTCGTACAGACTCAGCCAATCCATGCCCAGAATCACATCGTACGATGAAATCGGCAACAGAATCAAACTCAATTTCCATTTCTTGCCAGAAATGTCAATCTCACATAAGCAAAACTTCCGAGTAATTAAAGGATTCCTAGCCGGTAAGCTCACAGACAAAGAAATCGGAAGAAAAAATGAGTCCAAATGCAAAATCTCAAAACATCGCTCAGACAGAAAAGAATGACTGGCTCCAGAATCAAACAAAACACGACAGGGCTGATCAGAAATGTGAATCGTACCTGTCACAACATCGGGAGCATCTCGAGCCTCCTGCTGACTCAAATTGTAAACTCGGGGCTGCACTGGAGTTGGAGCTGAAGCAACAGAACTACTCGGCTCTCTCTGACTAACAGTAGGTGGTCTCCGTGGTGCAGAACTAGAACCACCACCTCTACCAGCAAACCCCTCAGAACGCGGAGGAACAGTCCTCGGTCTCCCTGCTGAACCAGTAGGTCTAACAGAGCTCTCAGATCGGAACTCAGAACGTCGATCAGAACCCATCTGTGGACATTCTGCAATCCGATGTCCTGGCTGACCACATCGGAAGCACAGACCAGCCATCCTGTAGCACTGGCCCAAGTGTCGTCGTCCACAGCTTTGGCACATAGGTGCCGTACTAACAGAACCAGAACTCGTCGTACTGGTAGCAGTACCAGATGACCCTCCACTCTTCCTAAAGTCAGATCCAGACCCAGGTCCAGATACAAATCTCCTCTTCCCAAAGGAACCACTACCAGATGCCTCGCCTCCAAACCTCTTCCTACTCGCAGTCCACCGCTGCTGAGTAGCCATCAAGTCATTCTCAATCAGACGAGCTCGCTCCACAAGCTCAGAGAAATCAGAAATGTGAAAAGGTACTAGGGGCTGTCTCAAACTATCTCGTAGACCCCTCAAAAATCTGTAGCACCTCTCAGCAGAAGTACTAACCAACTGCGGAGCATACCTGGCTAAGGCAGTAAACTCAGCCTCGTACTGCATCACCGTCTTGCTACCCTGAACAAGTCTCAGAAAAGTCTCTTGCATCTGCTGTCGTGCAGAAGGGGGAACAAACCAGTCTCGAAATACCTCAGTGAACTCGTCCCAAGTGATCAAAGAGTTCAGTCTGCCCTGAAATCTGGCTGCTTGCTGGCATTCCCACCAGTGCTCAGCCTCTCCATCCAGCAAAAAACACTGCTAACGGAACCTTCCTATCCGTAGGACACTGCATCCCATCAAAAGTCTTTCCAACCTCCTCAACCACTCCTCAGCAGCTCTGGGCTCAACAGCGCCCTCAAATCTCGGAGGCTTCAACCTCAGAAACAACTGCAGATGTCTGTCAAGATCATCAGATCGGACGGTAAAAACTCTGCTCTGAGTCTCGCTCATCATCTGAGCAACAAGCGTAGCAAACTGTGACAGCGTGTCAGCACCGGCCACTGGGGATGTACTCCCCACTGGTAATGCCTGACTGGAACTCTGCCCGTCAGTCATGTCTGGGTCTGGCTGATCCATACAGAAAAATCCAGAAAATCCGGAAAAACTATCACAAAAACAACACAATAAAAAGCCGAACAAACCAAAACTACCCCAGATAAACTCACTACTGATCATTTCCTATAGCTCTGTTTTACAATCCAACTAAATTCCAAAACCAAGGCTCTGATACCACTAAAATAGCTTTGTCACGACCCGACCCGACGGAGACGGATCCCGCCCGAGCCGGATCGCGACCAGCCAACAGACTAATCAGGATCTGGCTTTGGAATTGGTTTCGGAACTGAATCTTCCAGATCATTTCGACTCAAAAACAACAACACAGACAGACACAGAGCTACTATAAATCGTCTGTTGCAGCGGAACAAAACATCTATATTTTCCTTTCTTTTCCTCAAAACAATCATCTACAAATACAGTGCATGGCTGACAGAAAGAAACAGAGCAGAAAAGCCATGACTGTACAAAAATAAAAAAAAAGAACAAAATACTTATACTGATCAGACTCTGAAATCTAGTCCTGGACTTCCTTCCCTTTCCCAGAACCTGAAAAAAAACCACCAGAAAGCAAGAGTGAGCTCAACAGCTCAGCAAAGCGACAAACCTCCAATCAAAATTCTCAGAATCCAAAACCAAACACATCAGACAGAAATCAGAATCTTCGTACTGAAATCAGAATCGGACAGTTCATAACAAACAGATCAAATCAGAACATATATGGACATATATCAGATCAAAATCAGATCGGAACTGAAACAGACATATATCAAATCAGAAACAGAACAGATCAGACCTATCACATAACGGAATCAGAATCGTGCAGAAATCAGATTCAAATCATATCGGAACAGAACATAATCGTATCAGAATCGTATCAGAATCGTATCAGAATCATATCAGAATCTGAATCAGATATATAATTAATAGCTAAATTCCCTGACA